CAGCGCTGTAAGCAAGTTGAACGCACCCAATGACCAGACTGGGGAAACAAACTGAAACGCGGACTTAATACAGAGGACTAATGACAACAACCAGAAACAGCTGATCTCATGGGGATCCCACACAAGGTTAACGAGGGGGCTTGGTACACGGAAGGAGCGGACAATTGGGGCAGGACAGGGGTAATGTTGGGATAAGATCTTTATCGTTTTGGAAGCCATTAAGAAAAAAAATGCTGCTCTTGTTTTATCCTGTTCATTTTGTGTTTAATTGCTAAAGAAAAAAAAAAAAACATATTTAGATATAATTTTGGGGGGCCGGGAACCAATTAATTGGTTTTTCATTATTTCTTATGGGAAAAATTCGATCAGAACTCAAACTTTTTAGGATTTGATCCGGAGTCTGGAACGGATTAAGTTCGAGAACCGAGGTACCACTGTATGTAGATATGGAATACAAGGCTAGATTAAAGTAGAGTCATAAACACAGCCCATTTTAATGGATTTCTTAATGTATGGTCCATTAAATACTTTTTGGCGTCAGTGTTAACCTTCATAACTTGGTATGAAGGCAGATCACCTCAATAAGCAGCCATAATTTACAAACGCTCAGAGAGAATTTTTGATTTTGATGCCTGGAGTCTACTGTATGGCTTAACAACAAGTGACGCAGTGACTTGAGGGATCTATTTGAACACTATAGGTTAATCAGTTCTGCTGTCATTTCCTCCGCACCTATTTCAGGCAGTGTGCGTTGGCGGCACTCGGCGATGTCCGGCGGTACTTGACAGAGGAAGGAGGACAGGTGGCGGTAAGTGGCCCCAAAAACAATACCTGACAGTTAACAAGTTCTGTTGATGATCTATTCAGGGCTAAAAGGCTATAAGGTCTGGAGGGCAAAGGTATACTTTGATATAGCTGGGTTACGTAGAAACAGCCAGCGACGGTAATATGGATGTTACTGTGGCAGCAGGATGAAGTTGTGAGACAGATGATGAGTCGAGCTTGGCATGGGTTGGGTAATAAGCAGTCTGTACATTTGTAACATAATGTGTCAGTAATGGTGGAACAGAGTCTGAGAGTGGGACTGAATAGGCTGTTACTTCACTGGCCTTGTGAAATATATGGCTGTAGCTGTCTTGGTGTTTTCAGATGTGTGCTGTTTGGCAGGAAATGTGACTGACGTACTGTGTGTATCTCCTGGCTATTTGTCGATATTTTGGTGTTGCATAACATTTCATTATCATAGCTGGAACACAGCATGTAATGTTATCCCTTGTTAGATTCTCACTACTTTAATTTTACATTATAAACGTGGTAATGCTTAATTGGACTGTTTACGTAGGTGTTTGATGCCACCAATACAACGAGGGAGAGACGAGAGACCATCCTGAGGTTCACAGAACAGAATGGCTATAAGGTAAAAGGAGAAGCTTTATATATAATTATAAAGGTGTTTGTATGATACACAATAATTTCTGCTTTTGTTTAAGGTCTTCTTTGTGGAGTCTGTGTGTGAAGACCCTGATGTTATTGCAGAAAACATAGTGGTAAGTGACGTGAACGACCTGCAGATGGGCAAAAATTTAGTGGAAAAAATTACTTTTATGCAGCTTAACACTAGATGAGATGTTTTTTGAGTGACTTTCTTTTTGTTAATTTTTATATAGCAAGTTAAGCTTTGCAGTCCAGACTATGTAGACTGCAACACGGAGGAAGCAGTAGATGACTTCATGAAGAGAATAAAGTGTTATGAGAACTCATACCAGCCTTTGGATGAGGTTCTTGACCGGTAAGAATATAGCTGGTGTTAACCTGGATTGTCTTTGTTTATTTGTGGTTACCTTTAACATTTCTTGTCTAGTTCCAGATGTTTATAACAGGATCCCATCTTTAAATATGTGTGGAAAAGGTGTTTGGTGAAGTAGGAAGGGTCCATGTCTTTCTTTGGTGTTTGTCGGCCAAATTTGGCAGGTCACCTATGTCCCTCATCTCCACAGGGAACTGTCTTTCATCAAAATCATGGATGTCGGGCGGAGATACCTGGTAAACAGAGTCCTTGACCACATTCAGAGCCGCATCGTCTATTACCTCATGAATATCCACATCACACCCCGCTCCATCTACCTGTGTCGACACGGGGAGAGTGAACTCAATCTCAAGGGTCGCATTGGGGGAGACTCTGGCCTGTCTGTACGGGGGAAGGAGGTGAGTTTCAGTCTGCTGACTGGCCTGTCTGTCTGCTAGACTGTCCGTTGTTTAGAGTTTTTTTCCTCTCTTTTCTTTTGTTTCTCCCACAAACAGTTTGCGAAGTGCCTGGGTAGGTTTATCCAGGAGCAGAACATCAGCGACCTGAAGGTGTGGACCAGTCAGATGAAGCGGACCATCCAGACAGCAGAAGCACTCGGCCTGCCTTATGAACAGTGGAAAGCGCTAAATGAGATTGACGCGGTAGGAAAGGCCGCTCCTACTCGGGTGCTCGTGTGTACGTCTTTTCTGCACAGGTTGTGACTTTTAACCATTGTTTGCTCAGGGTGTGTGCGAAGAGATGATGTATGAGGAGATCCAGGAATCTTACCCTTCGGAGTTCGCCTTGCGGGACCAGGACAAATACCGCTACCGCTACCCCAAGGGGGAGGTAGGTTTGGGGAGGAACATCCAAGCGCAGCAGTAATATCTGAGCCAACTCTCATCAGCCTCTTATGGTTAAGTGTTTATATGGGTGTGTGTGTGTCTCACCAAGTACTTTAATTGCAGTCATATGAGGACTTGGTGCAGCGACTGGAGCCTGTGATCATGGAGCTGGAGAGGCAGGAGAACGTGATGGTCATCTGTCACCAGGCTGTCATGCGCTGCCTCTTGGCTTATTTCCTGGATAAGTCTGCAGGTCAGCCTCCTCCTACGGCAGCTGCTTTAGTTCGTTTTTTTTACAGTACTTTAGAGGCAGAGGCGGAAAGTGCGAGTCCAGAAAGTAGAAATCCAGACCAAGGTTTTGTTTCAACCAACCAATTCAGTATAAAGAGTCTCAATCACAGAGTACTCAACTGGTTGGTTGAAACAAAACCTTGGTCTGGATTTGTATTTTCTGTTCCTGTACCTTTCACCTCTGGTTAGAGGTGGATTTGTGTCACATTTTAAAATCTTCAAGTTTCAGTCATTAATGTGTCAGTTGTTTTCCTTCCCTTTTGCAGAGGAGTTGCCTTACCTTAAGTGTCCTTTGCACACCATACTGAAACTTACCCCTGTGGCTTATGGTAAGTCTCATGAAACATGATAGTGATTTTCATTCCTTTAAACCTAACTAAGTGTAGTTGTGGTTAAAGTGGTATTGTGAACGAGTGGGTGTAATTCATACCGGTTTGACAGTACATCTACCATATGTAGAACCTTCAGTACTGCATGAGTCATTAGTACTTGCCTGAATCAGGCTCCGGAACAGTGAATTGAGTATGTAGAGATCACTATTTAGTTATGAATGGAGCCATTACTCGCTATTGCCCTCTAGTGGTCATTACATTAGGAATTCTTTTCCACCACACCAAGTATCGTACTTTTGGTTTGATACTGTCGTGCTGGGCAGACCAGGCATGGTCTGGTCAAGAGCGGCAAAAGACAAGGAGACTCGCTTGCCGGGCAGAACACGCTCTTTAATTGCAGTTCTTAATAGGACTATACCAGGCACTCGATGAGCACTGAACCAAACGCACAAGTGAAAGACAGGGAGGTGAGATGCAGAACTCTAAGGTACACACATTGTGGGAGATTTATACAAACCTAAGGACACACGAGGATCAGATAGGGTGCACAGAAGACACGGGCAAACACGCACGGTGCAATCGGGAAATACAACTATTAACATTAACAGTATAAAATTTACAGTGCACAGACAGGGGTTCGTGAGCATGCTGGGATATAGTTTTGCACTGGTGGGATTTGTATATTTTCATTTCCGGTCTAGTGCCATTATGTGAAGTCCCAGTACCTAAAGTGCCAAACCAGCTGTGGTACTTTTCTGGTATTTTGGTACTTTAGGATGGGACTTGCAAACACTTTCTTTCTTTGTCTATTTGCAAATAGCCCGACTCTGAAACATGATACAACCACTGTCTTGGAAAAAGTTACAAGCTAAGAAAACAATGATAAATGGAGTTTAAAAAAAAAGTGTAATAGTAATGGATGCATGGACAAATCAAGAGATCCAAGTTTCAATTGCGATCTGGTTTTAAAAAAAAAAAAAAAAGGGTTTAACATAAATTTTTGCAAAAAAATGCAAAAGCAGTGGAGGTAAAATTTTTAAATTGATTTCGAATTCGGTACAAAATACCCCGCCGCGTGTTGTGATGTCATTCTGCCCCAGTACCAGTTTATATGCCAGTGGAAAACCACCACTTTGAAGTGCTGGTGCGGTGGAAAAGCGCCCTAAGTACTACTGTAACTGTTAAGGTTTGTATTTCTGAAGATTTCCTCCACTCACAGGCTGTAAGGTGGAATCCATCTCCCTGAATGTGGAGGCAGTGAACACGCACAGGGACAGACCAGAGGTAAGGCGCCGAATATTCTGCACATTCCTGGTTTTCTTGCTGTAACCCTGGTGAGTGACATGAGTTACTCAGAGATGATGACAGGATCCTGTGGCACTATATTCGTGCTGCCCGAATCTTCAGATTGGCCGTATCTCCTGGGTGTAGATGGATGTGCGTTTCCAGCAATAGGAGTGATTCTTGCCTTATTTGAGGATGTGCCTTATCTGTGGTCCATGTGGAGTTGATATCTACAGGTGGTGATCTGGGACTTCAGTATGACGCGGTGGCACTGGTAGCACTCATACCTCCCAGTTTGGGGGGTGGGATTTGAATCCAGGGCCTGCTGGATATGTGTGGAACATGCTTGTTCTCCCTGCATTGCACTGGTCTCCTCCTGCAGTCAATTTATCCAGTTGGGATAATTAGTATGTTTTTTTTTTAATTGCCCATAGCATATGACTGTGAGTGCGAGTATGTGTCCTGTGATGGCCTGACAATCCTGGGTGTAGCCCAGCCTGGTGCCCTGTGTGGCCCAGGACAGACATCATGTGATCCTGACTGGGGTAAGTGGTTGGACGATGGATGGATGGATATGTGGATGGGTGGATGTATCAGCAGCACGTGACTATTTAGAGTTTGTTTCTTAATTTTAAATGCTACATCCCTGGGTTAGCGTATTCATCTTGGTACTAACTCCGTCTAAGGCTGGCAGTTTAGAGGTAGGATTCCTTTGCAGTGCCTCTAGTGCATTCTCTGAAGCTTTTAAATGATACGCTTCAGCTCCAGACATGAGGGAGCGCTTCTTAACTTTTAAAGGGTTTTGCAGGCAACGCGTTTGAGCTCTAGTATTTGGGAACCACATCTCTCTCTCGAAGCCTTTGAGCTGCAGTATTGGGGGACCACATCTCTCTGTGAACTTTTATGTTGGTGCCACGCTGCGAATCGGTGAATCTTACCATCCCTTATCTTGACCATTCCTGAAAATGCTGTGTCCAGTGCAGATGCAGCTCCGTACTGGTAACTGTGGGACTCATGAGAGTAATGCAAGTCATCAGTGCATTATTAACAGTCAACCTGTCCTAGTAGCCATTCCGTTCAGGTTATGTCGCCAGAATTTCTGCTTGGGATCAATAAAGTTAATCTAATGTCACCAGATGTGCCCCCAAGCTAATAACCTGGGCCTTGGTGGTCCACACTGACAGCTGTGAACACATTTAGAGGGCCCTGAGAGCTGAAAATCAGCTGCTGTATTTGCTTTCATCACCGGCCCTGCTGTTGACTGCTTCTGTACCATAGTGTCCAGCTGTTGACACTCCTGTGTTTTTATCATTGTGCAGAATGTAAACATCTCACGAATGGCTGAGGAGGCTCTGCTCACGGTTCCTGCTCACCAGTGAGTCAGCATTGGCCGTAGTGACGTCACTAAGCATCATCTGTCTTTGGGTTCCCATTGCAATTCGAAAAACAGGACTTGCCATTTGCTGAGCTATGGCATGTTGTTTTCTTTAATTATCCTTGCTTTACTAAATTATTCAGAATCCAGTTTAAAAAAAAAAATAAAAAAATAAAAATCATCATTTCATGGATTTTGTATACCATGCATAAGATGTCAAATGACTTTATTTTTGTGGATACATTTTTTTTTTTTCCCTAAGTTGTCTCCATGCCTGTAGTTAACTTTGGGGACATCAAGTAAAGTTTTGGTTCATAATGTAAAATGTTTTAACATGCCAAGAACTGTTTTTATGTTTTAAACCTGTTTTGCACAGATGCTGTTAATCATGTTGTCTGCCCATGTGTTTTTAGATTGTATGTCATTTAGGGTTAGGGATCAGACTGGCACAATGAATCTCGGCTCTTTGTATATTCCATTTAACAGCTTGAGAGACTGGTGTCTGAGAAATGAAAATGTCTATGGAAGTACATTTGTCTTTTCAGTTATTCTTACACCTTGACACATTATACTTCTCCTAATCTCATTCTTTCATTCATTGCAGGTGTTAAATTTAACAACTGTTGGTTTTCTGGGTCTAAACTGTATATGTTGTCATTTTAATTTTATTTTGCATGTAAAAAAACATGACAAGACTTCCAGTCTGTTTTTGTTATTGATCAGGAAACACTACTCTACAATCATTCCTGTTGTGTTGTTAATCGGTCATTCTGACATTTGAAAAACGCAACATTTGTTCTGTTCTATTTGTTTAAAAGCAGAAATGTTATGTTATGTTATAGTAAGGAAAGCTCTTTAAACATGAAGGATTCTTTGAAGTTTTAATGTTGGCAAGTCTCAGATTTTCAGCTGAAATGTTCTGCTAAAAGGGTGCTCAGATGCAACTGTGAAGCTTGTGCATTATCCTAATGCTCAGAAATATGTAGGATGTTTGTCCTGTCTTTTGTGTATGTCCACCGCTCACTTTTATTTCCACCCTGGTTTTGCCAGTACTACATTGCCATAGCTTCAGTGTTGTGTTGGTTGGGTACTAATTTAACTTCGTCCACATTCCTGTCACCTCAAGCCTTTAGCAATGTTACCTTGACATAGTGCCTGGATCCATTAGTAAGGATTAATATTATCTGGAAAGACAGTCCATACAAATGCACATTAAAATACAAACGTATGTGAGTGTGATATTAAGTTACAATAACATTCTGATATTTAGCTGGATCAGGTATCAGAGTTCCATTTTCACAGAAATAGTTGATATATTAAACAGTATTTCAGTGCTCTGTATTTTAACTCATGTTTTCACTAAGTAAAACACATTTTAAACATGGGCTCTAATCCTTCACAAGGAACCATTTGCAAAAAGTAAAAAATGTGAAGTATTATAGCAGGCCTGTTTTTGGGACCAGGTGAATAGCTGTGTAGATGCAGCTATTCCAGATGCAGATTAAGAATTATGATGGTGATCGATATCGGTGACTCCTAGCAGTGGCCAAAGGCTTCGGGGTCTGACCCCTGACTGCCCCCCTCCCCTTACTAGGCCGTGGACTCGGCCCAGCACTTTATTTAGCTGACATCGGGTCGTTATGGTCAGCAGTGGTTTACAGTCTCAGAACATGCACCTACCAAAGGATTCCAAAGCTTTTTTTTTGTTTGTTTTTTTGTAAGCGACTGATGAATGGATTTTTTTTTCCAACTGGGATAGATGTGATTACCGCTTTAAGTTAATTTATATATAGATGTCTTATTACAAATTCATATCTCAAGATATTGTATTAATTTGATTTCTGATGTTTTACTTTAAATTTAAAGAGAAGAAAAACAAATAAATCGATGGCCTGTTGCCCTCTTGTCCTGCTTCATTGTGAGACATGGGACGAAGCTTCCCCCAGTAACCTTATGATCCACCTTCATTTACCTTTAAGTTTTGATGAACATTTTATCTTGATCAAACATGCAAGGAGAAATCGCAGCCACTCACGGTAAGTTCAAGATTACAAAGAGACAGTCACAGCACATGAAACGTGTGTCTGAATTGGGGAGTTTGTTAGCTGGTACGGAATAGAAGACGGGCCAGTCTTTCTGCAGCTGGTGTTCTACACAGCGCTACTGCCCGGTATTTACCATACCTCACTGTGCTATTTGGGTGTCAGAATCCACTTTGTCCTCCCTCATACACCAGCCATTGTGCCTGCATTTTTAATCAGCTCTTCACTGCGTAATTCCAGTGCGTCGTGTCTTGTGTACACACTTCCTACGTGTGCAAAACAAAAACAAAAGATGTGCACCACTGTCCTTTGTGACTGGACATCAGAATAGGTGAGCTCAGACTGAACTGAAACACCCAAGGTTTTCCTCTGTCTGCATAAGCTGAGATATCCCCCTGCATTTCATATATACATTATTATACCTTAATTTTTACCATCTCTTATGCAAAGATTATTCAAGTTCATTCTTTATTAAAATGGCCACTGCTGTACTGTCTTCAAATTGTCATAAACAAATATGACATTTTATATATGAAAAGGTTTTACTAAACACGGCTCCATTTTAGACTCCTAACTAGTAAAGGGTCCTGCCTGCCAACCAAGTAAGGAGTTTTGGAGGGACTTACTGGGGACGCAGTACAAACCAGTACTCGGGGAGTCCCAGATGGTTCATGTTAGTGCTCTCTCCCAATTACATGGCAACTGGGAGAGAACAAAGATGTGGACCGCTGGAATGCTGCTTTATGGAGCTTTGTCGGTCCACCCACCAAGACCTGTGGATGACCATGAGAGCACACAGGAAAGTCTCACTGCAGTTTTTGAGTCCAAAAAAATTTATTTGAACCTCGTAAATCGCCTGACGTGGACTTGGTCATGTGTACTTTTTTATTCTCTTCAGCATATGTAATTGGAATTGGACACGTGTTTGACATATATTGCTTTTACATTAAATATTATGATTAAGTAACTCTTAGTAGTATGGATACTTGGTTCAAAATGCATAGGAGGTCCTCACTTGTTGTTCAGCCATCCATCTTCCAAACACTTATACTCTTTGGGGGGTCGGAGCCCATTGCATTGCTTATGCTCTTTGGGCAATTTATACACAGTATTTAGCATGACTGCAAGTTTTCAGACCAGTGTTTCTCAATCCGGTCCTCGGGGACCACCAGACAGTCCATGTTTTTGCTCCCTCCCCAAAAATGTGGACTGTCTGGCAGGGAGCTGGGAAGGAGCAAAAACATGGACTGTCTGGCAGGGAGCTGGGAGGGAGCAAAAACATGGACTGTCTGGCAGGGAGCTGGGAGGGAGCAAAAACATGGACTGTCTGGCAGGGAGCTGGGAGGGAGCAAAAACATGGAGTGTCTGGCAGGGAGCTGGGAGGGAGCAAAAACATGGAGTGTCTGGCAGGGAGCTGGGTCGGAACAAACATGTGGACCCTCTGGGGGTCCCCAAGGACCGGATTGGGAAACACTGGTTTGGACTGTGGAAGGAAACCCATATATCAAGGGGAGGGCTGCACACGCAGCGGGAATTTGTTAAAATTAAACAATGGAGGAATGGGATCTTAAAACCGGATTTTTATCTTGCTGTACAAAAAAAGATTTCTGGCAGCTGAAATTCTAGTGCTACTGTTCACCTGACAATTTTTGATATTTGACTGGAATGGACTGATAAAATGTCTCCATATGCATTTATTCTTATCTATTATATTCTTTATTGAATCTAAGACACTTAAGTATGTAGGTTTGCCTTTACCTTGTTTGTTTTCCCTATTAATATTTTATTTAACATTGCCTAAGGTTGTTACATAACTGGTTATGTGATATTTTAGTAATATCGCCTCACCAATTGCTGGTATTTACAAGGAGTCCACTAAGGCCCCTTTGGTATGACGTAAAAAAGAATTTTTATTACACTTTATCGCAGTAGTTGCAACACAGTGAGTGGCGGGTGACCACGTTTTAAACACACCATATCATTGCTTGTCTTTCAGAATGTCAATGTGCAACGCACTAGAGAAGATGCCTTGAAGACTCTCCCTGCTCACCTTTAACCTTTCAGGTCTTTTTTCTTTGAACACCTGGAGCATTTCAAATGAAGAACCAATCCCTCAGGAACGTCGCCCCCATGTGGTCGGATGACTCGGGCTTTCTGTGTCCCCCCACCGCGTTTACACTTTAATTGTAAAGTATTAATTTTACTTTTTAAACATTGCTGAATTCTGACTAATGGTGCTGGCCATGTTTGTACATATTTATTATAACGGACAAATGCATATTAGAAAAAAGTACAAATATGTATATACAACGTAAATGTCCTGTGCTTCTGAATATTTTTAATGAATGGAATTAGCAGTGTGTCTGCGTATGAATCATATTTAATATAATGATGAAATTCTACAGTGGGATAAATTCTCTCAACCACTGACAAGACCTTTAGCTAGCAATTCTTTAGTAGTGAAGGATTTCCTTCGGTTCTGGTTGGAAAAAGCAGCACGGACGGACATACCTGTTTTACAGATGGCCACAATTTCGGTAAGAGAACAAGTCAGATAACATGAAAGCTTAAGTTTTTCTTAAAGGACTTTATCTTATTGCTTCTCCTAACTGGCTTGTGCTGCCTACAAATTGTGACCCAAGCGTCTCGGTCGGGAATGAAACTGGAAAACTGGAAGAGGCTCCTTCGCAGCAATCATCCTCTGCTTCGAGGCACTTTTGAAAAGCTGAAGGCCCTCAGACACCCTGAACATACAATAGCTGCCTTCAAGATTCTTTTAAGCATTTGAACATTTGATATTTTTTTTTATTTATAGTGCATTGTCTGCATATCCATATAAGGGCACAAAATCATAATTGTAATATTACATGTTTCAATGTGTGTATGCATTTGTGTAATACTTGAATGACATTTGTAATCAGTATTTAGGAAATGAACATAATGTTACATTCCATATAGCTTAATAGATAAATACAATTTTTTTCCTGCATTACAAGTTTACAATTGTCAGTCTATGGTTTCCAAGATAGGACATATTGATCTGTACTCCTGGCCAAACCCAAACAGTAACACTGTCTGTATTCAGCTGGGTGCCTATCTTGATATGGAGCCACTTTGTTTCAAATAAATGAGTGGGTGAACCCTGATGGATGGTGTGATTCGTATTCCAGTGCGTATCCCATTGAGAGAATGTTTTGTGCTTTTGTTCTATTCAAATTTTTTTATTGAACTATTGCAGTCATCTGATCTTAAAGATAATTTGTCAGAAAGTCACACTGGGTCTACAAAAATGAGACACAGTACTAGGCACAGTACTGATTTGCCCGTTTTCTGTATGTCTATGAACTTTATATTGGCACTATCACTGTAGCAAGCTACAAAAACTGGCATCAATCACATTATAATTTACTGTTAAAGATGGTAAAACTATGTGACCCAAGCAAATTTAACAGGTACCCGTGGCATGCAGATATTAATGTCTGTCACATATGAGATGCTGCTATGACTGCACTGAATATGGAGTCTTTCAAATACGGATGGCCCAAACAGATACTGTACCATGTAACAGTAATGGAAGTATGTCATTATTTTTTGTAAATCATGTCATATAATGCAAAGATCGGGTATGTTATTCCATAGACTCACACGCCCAGTCCAGCAAATTCTTTTTGCATACAGTGAGGCCAGACTCTCCAGCATACTACCATTTCCTATTCCTCAATTATATATTGTTTTCATCATATCAATTATATCATAGCTTCCACACAGACAAAAGAGCAACACACAAAGATACAAACAAGCAGTAATGGGCTTTAATTGTCATCAATAACATAATATTGTATCAATCACTTCATAATCTGCATTGAAATACAAGAAAGGTATTTTATGGACCTTGTTTTGAATGTTTTTAGTAACAAAAAAAATATTTGTGTATAAAAAAAAAAACACAAAACATTAAGTTACTGGAACAAAATTCTCAGTGCTTCTCTGCCCTCAGTAATATTGATTGAGTTAATTGAAGGACCCGCCCTGGTTTTGTTCTGAAGGCAGAAATGAATGAGAGAATAATTATGTACAAATACCAATATTCCTAAGTGCAGGGATGCCTATGGACAGAGGCCATACTCTCTTGCTCAGGTGGTCTCTTTATTGGTTTTCCTTGCCGATTCTGTGCCCCATAAGCACCTCTCTCTCTCTCTCTCTCTCTCTCTTTCTCTCATTTGGCCCCTAACCCATCCCCACCTTACAGGTAACCATGGTGATGGCCATGTTATGGGATCTGCATGTGGAATGTTCCTCAAAACTGCAAAGTGCAAAGAAGTGCTTGGTTACAAAATTGCATTTCTGTTACTTTTCTATTCAGTGAAACTTGTTAAAAACGTCAACATTTGCATACAGTTTCAAAGGGGAGCTTAAACATCTCGGTTTTATAGTTATGTAGGATTTTAAATCCTACATGACCTTTTGAATGTTACACTGATAATAATCAAAGCTTCTTTGGTTTTGTGGATGGAATTGTGCTTTGGTTCAGAGAATGGAGACAAGTATAAAGAGAGACTCACGTTTTTGAGGAATTCTTCTGCAACAATGCGGGCACGGGCGTTAACGGATAGTTTCATCTCACTGATCTCCTTGTCAATTTCCTCCATGAAGTGGATGACAAAGTCCACCAGCTTATGCTTGTACATCTGCTCCGTGTGGAAGTTGGTGATGAGGAAGCTAATGTCATAACCCTGAAAACGTGTATGGAAAAGATCATCTCAAAGATATCCAATACTGCCTTCAGCAACTGGCCAAGCTTCACTCATGTTTTTCATGCACTGCTCAGTGTTCCAGATCTTTCTAATGGACATCCCTCTTCCCACACCCACCCGGCCACCTCGTTTAACTTTCTCTCTCTCACCTCCACAGGTTTCCTCCTCAAGATGAAAAAGTTCTCTGCTCTCATCATCATGAAGCGCATGAACTTGTGGCACAAAATCTTCTCAATCTCATCTGCCTGTTTGAGGAATGAACATCTCACTCATATGGAGGCTCAGTCATAAAAATCATACAATGCACGTCAGTCACACAGGAGAGAACATCAGCGAAAGCCAGGAGCATCACTAGAAAGGCTTTGATAAAACACAACTGCTGGCACTTAAATAATCAGTCTGATGAAACACCATGGCCACAATTGGCCATACTTGCAAAAAATATTTTGAAGTGATCATTCTCATGATAAACTGATGATCATTTTGATGATAAACAATGATGGGTGTGGACTGAGAACGGATGGTATCTGGCTAACCTGCTTAACAGCAATGCTGACACGGACAGAGTTGATGGACCCCTCGATCAGAACCTTCTCCTTTTCATTGCGGCTGATGATCACGGGCTGCAAGAGTAGCTCCTTACTGCTCCTGAAGGCACAGGAAGAAAGCAGCAGCCACAGCGTACGCATCAGACGTCTGACATTTGAGGTTAAGTTGAGATGAGCGTGGCTGAGTAAGCTCATGCCTACATAGGCGAGGTAACTTACCGGACCTCGACTTCTGGCTTGTTGTGGCGCTCCACTACCTGAGAGGAGAAGTTCTCCAGACAGAGGGCCGCCTGCAATGTGGCACGCACGGCATTCAGGTACGGACGTAGAGTCGCCGTCTAAGAAGAAAATTTAGGATGGGGAGAACTTCACTACAGCAAGTCATCATAACCTTGAGCATTAAAGGATCCCTGTACATAGAAACATGTCAGTCAATTGGCCTATGTGATCATATTATGACATAATCAAAGGTTATTGGTCCAGAATGATGTATGCTGTTGCAGGAAGTGAAAACATATTTGCTCAACTACCCCCCAACCCCACCCCGAAATGAAACAGAATGGTAAAACGGCTGAAACATGCTGACACACAGGTCTTGGCGTGCTGCTGGAATTCCAGAAATGCTGTACTTTTATGCAGCAATGGAGAATCCTTGCAGATGTATCGCTGCTCTCCTCCTTTCGACACCCCAAACAAAACTTACGCATTTTAGGATTTATGTTGTAAGTGTTAATGGACAGAGCTATTAAGAGGTCGTATCAGCTATGTGGTGAAATTCACCCACACAAACACTTTGACATTTGTGACGTGGGTCATATAGCAGGCATACTTTTTAAAGGTCTTTGTAAACGGTGGCTCTGGCTACGTATCTGATACTGATAAAAGAGGAAGCACTGAACTCAAGGAGAAGTATGCACTCCATAAATATCAACTTCTTATTTGGCACAGCTGACATGAATTTCTGCTTTTTATGGTAATATTACCAGCGGCTATAAGTCGTTTCCTTAAACATATTTATTATAAGATGACGTGAATGCACAGCATATCTAAGCCTGACTGGGCTCTCAACCTCAATATTAATGATAGCACGTCCGCCAGCACATTAGAGTTATTAAAGCCTTAACATATTTCTCCTTCTACAATGGTGCAAATTAAAGATTACTAACCAGAACGTTTTCCTTACCAGCCAATAAACCCAACAATGTGAATAACTCATGCACGAGGCGGCTCGCTCATACTGATATTTACAGTGAGGAAATATTGTATGTTAATACTTCTCTTCAGGGACAAATCATTATGACACCAAACTGATACGCTGTAATACTTCCAGGTTCGTTTTGTCAATAACCGAATGACCTTAACTCTGCAGGTAGGCTACGCTTAGGTCTACAGCCTCTACATAATAAGCGCATTCGAAAGGAAACAACTGCTATGCAGACCTAGTAGGTCTTCACTAGATATGTCCAATGATATTTTATCATGAAATACAGGAAACTGATCATGTTTGCAGGTATAAAATATTATAAAGAAGGTCCGTGGTAGCTAGTTGTTTATTCTGCGTGCAACTAGCTACACATTTCAAACATAAAGCATGCCATTGGATCCAACTCGACAGCTGGCTTCTTAACAGACCGGCAATCCAAGAGTAGCAGGAAGCAGCCAATCCTAACAACCGTGACGTCAGTATTCCAGATGCATTACGACCCAGATTCCTCGAATATCACCAAGGATTCGACTTAGATATTTTTATTTAGTGAATAAGTCACATTTCGTTGTGAATAAGTCTGTAATCACCTAGAATAATCAATGCACATTGCAGATTACTTTCCATCTGGGTGGGGATTTCAGCTTTCTTGTTCGGCCGGCTGTACGAATGACTTCATACTACAACCAAGACTGTATCAGCAAGAAAAAACACAAGTACTGTGGATTCTATGTGCAACATGGCATTACAGACAACCAAGCATATGCGTTACGTTGCCGTTAAATAATCTGTCACCTACATTAGCGATATTAAACAAATATGCAGTTTTCTTACCATTTCGCCGTGTCAAGAGTGAAAGAAGATGCAAGTGCACTCGCCACGCCTGCTCTTCCGTGAACGCTGTCCTACATAGGACTATACCACCTATGGCAAATAATGGGGAAATTTTATGTATGATTACAAAACACTTATACATTTAATAGTACACGACGTTATCAGCTTTCTTTATTTGGAATCTTATAAAGTTTATAATAAGAAGAAGTTAAAAGTATGTTATCTATATTGTGTTCTACCTCGACGTTAAAGCGTTTATTCTACGGCCACCCCTCCCTTTTATTTCCTAATTCAGGGTTTATGCTCGAGCCTGATAAAATACATACCTTTTTTTGCTTATTAAAGCACAGTAGCCCATTTAAAAATAATTATGTCGTGAAATATTTATAACTTAGTGTAGTTCTTAATTCCCTTGCATTTTACAGCCTCTATTTCCATTGATATTACATCGAGCCGATAGTTTTTTCCTTATAAGGCAAAATGGGACGCGGAACTGTTCAGATAAATTTAGGGGAGTTGAGTTTACCACAAAGGAAAAGAGGTTTCTGTGCTGGAAGTAAGAATGTTTAATTTCAGACGAATAAAACGAATCATTACAGAAGTACATCATAACTAGCAATACTTTGAGTTGCACTTCTACTTTTTTTTATACATTTGCAATACACATACTAGACATCCTTCTGCATTAGTATTTGCCACTATTGAATATTGCATACGAAAACGCTTTAACGCGTACCAATAAGCTGGAGGACTGAACGAATTTTAAATACTATTCCATCATATTAGGCAGGGTTATTTAAAGCATATAAGATCATGTAGTAATATATGTGCCATTAATGTGAAAAACCTGTATAAGAATTTGATGTATTATTAAAAAAAAAAACAAAAAAACAAGTGTACTCGAGCGTTTACTGTTTGTCCCCTTTCCTTCCTGATGGTACGGTCGATAATGGACACTGCAATCTGAAGGTAAATCGGTGGGCAGTTGTTTTGGTGTTTATTTATTAATACGGTACTTCGATGACCACGCTTGATACACATTTTCACTTTGTGAATTAATGCAGAGTTGGCGACAGAGACAGTTTTAAGCCGTTGATTGCTTTACGCCAAGCGGAAGACCTCGTATATGTAGTTAGCTAATGAGCTAACGAGTGGCTGCTTCAGACAGAAGCTTGCGGCGGCGCATGTCGCGATACGTGCTGCCTGTGTGTATAATGGCCCGTGGTCTTCTGCCATGTAAATACACGTGTTAAACTATATAACGACCGGTATATTACGTTTACCTCTGTTGGACCAGTTAAGGATGAAGTCCATAGTATCCATGGTACCTGGTTTGCCACATTTTATGAACCCAAGTGCGTTAAAATCTATATTCTGCTAATTGTCAATGAATTCTTCTTCTTCTTCTCCTTCTTCTTATTATTATTATTGGTGTTGTTGTTTTTGTTTAGCAAGATATATAATCGAGGGCGATTTTCAGACTTGTAAAGTGGGATATCTTCATGGAACAGTTCAGGCAGACTAAGTACCAGTTTCATGGATACAACCGTGAATTCCTCTTGGAACATTGAGGTTGAATGTAAATCCACTGTGCTACAAGTGTGGTATATCTCTTGTTTTTGCAGCCCCTTTTCATCATCAGGATGAGTGAATTAAAAGATTGCCCGCCTCTTAAATATTATGATTTTAAGCCAGTTGAGCATGGCAAGCTTTGCCCGCGGTACACAGCTGTCCTGAGCAGGTCAGACGATGATGGCATTGGGATCGAGGAGCTGGACACCTTGCAGCTTGAGCTGGAGACACTCTTGTCTTCTGCTAATCGCCGGCTTCGTGCTCTGGAGGAGCAGAGACAGGTAACCAGGGGAGGGAAGCTTTGAGAGATGGAAAAGGCATCCTAACTGTTAAAGGATTATTCTGTAAAACGATACATTAACGTAAAAAGAGGGGATGATTTAAGCTCTTTTCCAGTGCAGTTCATTTTCCCTTAGATCCTGACAGACTGGCAGGATAAAAAGGTGGACAAACGCTTCCTTAAACCGGGGAAGGAAGCTGATCTCATGACCACGCCCCGCCACTCCAAGCCAAAGAAGCAGAAGCTGGACGGCAAAGGAAGCCATGGGCCTGGGCCTGGTCCCGGCCGGCCCAAATCCAAAAACTTGCAGCCCAAGATCCAGGAGTATGAATTTAACGAGGATCCACAGGATATACCCCGTAATCCCAAGAATGATGCCCCCAATCGGTCAGTGATATGTGCATCCATCCAATTGCTCTGTGATGAATGATATGAACGGTGTATATACAATAGCTATTTCATGCTATGCACAGTGCCTAGTAGCTGAAATACTGTTTATTTTTCCCGTTTAATTCTGTCACATTGTTAACAGGAAGTGCTTACCTTGTTTTAATAGGGTCAATACACAAGACAAATTTATGAAGATTATTGCCAGTCTTCTTGATCAGTGGTTCTCAAACTGCGTGTCTGGAGACCCTCAATCTTGTGACCCCTTTCTTTCCTGATCCACTGATCTAGTAGCTGATGCTCTGTTTCAGAGGAACTCGCCTTCTTTCCCCCCTAATTCCATTAGTGACACAAAGCCTGTTCCGGGGTGAGGGGGGGGGGGTCCCAGACAATTGCGACCCACAGTTTTAGAACCACTGTAAGGTACGAGTCTGTTTGTCGACATGTGATTGTGATTCTGGGCGTGCCTGTGGGCGTGTCGGACGCTTGTACATGACAGGTTCTGGGCGTCAGTGGAGCCATACTGTGCTGATATCACCAACGAGGAGATCAGAGTGTTGGAGGAGCTGCTGAAGACGCCTGAGGACGAGGCAGAATATTACAAGGTGCAGCAGACGAGCGGCCGCTCCAGCACAGAGGCGCTGTTTTCAGCTCCACTGCACACACAAGAAAGGCATCATTCACGAAAAGGGTGGAGTGCGTGCCAGGGGCAGTGCTAGCTGCTGGACCAATGAACAGTGGCGCTGTGTTGTAGGTACCGGTCCTGGGAAAGCATTACTCCCAACGCTGGGCTCAGGAAGACCTGCTGGAGGAGCAGAGGGATGGAGCCCGAGCCAATGAGAAGAAGAAAGGAGTTATGGGACCACTCTCTGAGCTGGATGCCAAGGGTAAGAGGGCTAGGAAGGACTGGGAGCAGATGCTGACCATACAGCTCCAGAAAAAATTGAGAAAATTTCACTGATTTCTCAATTTATGGGTATGCTTCTGTGTAAAACATACCTTTTTTTTTTTGCAAACTCCAACCTGGCTCTTCCCTGCTTCTCATTGATGAAGGGCTTCTTCCTTTCTTTATGGATCTTCTTTATGGGTTTTGAATTGTCCTAGCAGTGCACTTCACACATACTTAATATTTCCCCTTCTTTTTGAATGTCACTTGAGGTCATCCTCTGATTTATGAAGCACTGCCAGATAAGTTGACGGTCATCTCTGGCATTAGAAAGTTGCATCTGCCCTCTACCTAGCTGGGTTTTGGTTGTTCCCAGTGTCTCCTGCTTCAACTTATTCTTGTGTACTGCTGTCTTAGAAATCTGATGATGAAAACTATGATCTTCATGAAGACTTCCTTCCATGTGGTTGCTGTGGATGTGGAATATGGTGTGTGCTCTTATGGTGATGTTCTCCTAGATGTGGATGCACTTCTGAAGAAGTCAGAGTCCCAGCACGACCCACCTGAGGATGGCTGTCCCTTTGGTCCCCTCACACAGCGCCTCCTTCAGGCTCTTGTGGAGGTTAGCAAATGGTCTTCAGTAAATTGTACAGAATGTCACTTCAATATTCAAGTTTTATTGCCATGTCTATTTGGAGAATACAATGAACTCGTTGTATCCCAGAGCCTTTCCTATTATAAGAAAGTGCAATGCAAGACAGGGTCAAAAAGGTCATCAAATTACATATTTTCATATGCACAAGATACTTCTCTAATTGGCATTTCTCTCGCATACCACCATACGGGCTCAACTTCGGTTACTGCAGAATTATTTGGGCTTTTTGCGAATATCCTCAACATGCCTTTGATGTCATATCCAACAGGAGAACATCATCTCACCCATGGAGGACTCTCCGATCCCTGAAGTGTCAGGGAAGGACATGGGGAACGATGGCGCCAGCACCTCCCCACGCAGCCAGGGCAAAGCTTTCAGGTAATGGAAGAGATTTCTCTCTAGAACGTGTCAAAAACGAAGAGTTTGAAAATGAAATGGAAATTTGTCCCTTCGTTTTGGTGTAGTAGGAGACTTAATATCCAGTAGAACCTAAAACCTTTTGTGCCTGTCATTGGGCGCTTTTCCATCGCACTAGGTACCGTACTCCTGGTACATTGAGAAAGTACCAAAAGTATGGTACTTCAAGGTGTTGGTTTTCCACTGGCGTAAGAACCGGTACCAGCACCGATTGATATCACGACGCGTGGCGGAGTATTTTATTCTGCATTCTAAAAGTGGCTGTACTATATTATAGGGCTGGACAATGTGCACTATTAATCCCAACATTGCATGTTATGCACATTCAATTCTTACATGGCTAGTCAGCTATATTAAGATCAGGCTTTTTCTTACCTCCAATTCTGTACAGACATTATAGCACAGAGTTTGTTTTGCTAAACATTTTTACTCTGTCATAAGAAAAAACATTAGCTACTTTGCAATTTTAATTATTATTCCTTTTGTAGATTATCTGATACATATTTTAAAAAGCAGTTTAAAGTTGACCTCGTGCTGCTTTTGCATGAGTGCTGCGTTCTCCCAGACAGTTATGATCATTTTCATCCTTGATGTTTAAATCACTCTGACAGGTTTGTAAGAAATTTATGAACTCCTTTTTGCTTTATAAATACTCCATATTTCTTACGACAAAATCACATTGCTATATTTACACCAAAAATAGCACAGCACGCTATATGCTATCCTAATATATTAAACAAAATACTTAGAATTTCTTGTCATACCATCCTGATCTTTTTGTTGTATCTGTTCGTCCAACCAGATCGCAATTACTGTTTTTTTTTTTTTTTACTTTGTTTATCGTTGTTTTCTGAGATCGTATCGTTGTTTTCTGAGATCGTATCGTTGTTTTCTGAGATCGTAACTGTTTTCAAGGCGGCGTTTGCATTGCGTTTCAGCGGCAGGCTATCTGCATAACCAATCGACAAGGAAAGCCTTTCAAGTCCCACCCCAAAGTACAAAAAAAAGTACCCCAGCTGCTTTGGCACTTTAGGTACTGGAACTTGACCAGAGGTCAGTGGAAAAGAGAAAGTACCAAAAATACCATACCAAAAGCACAGTACTAAGTGCGGTGGGAAAGCACCCATTGATAAGCAGTGTAGGTTGTCTTTCAGTTTGCATGTCTGACTCCCAGTGGCTGTGTTGGGTATGACAAGTGTGATGGTTGTGTAGAGACTTGTTGAGTCTTGCTGTAGGTCAGGGGTAGGCAAAAGCGGCTTTTCTATCCTACCTGGTCTCTGATGAACCACAACTGATCTCAGGCAGATAGTAACTCATGAGGTGGGATAGGAAACCTGCTGGATACTGGCATTCCAGGATCAGGGGTGACTGCACATGCTATAGGCAGTATGTTGAATCTTGCTGTAGGTAGTATTTTGCGTTAGGCACCCTGGATTTTCTTTGGTTTTCCCAGTGCTGGTCATCAAATAATCTATTGGGAAGTCTCCCAGCCATGTCTTTTTCTGTCCTCTGCCAGAACTCTACCAATGAGAATTTAAGATTTTCAGCATATAAGGTTTTCCGCATATAACAAATATTGAAGAATAACCAGTGTTGGTAGTAACGTGTTACAAAGTGTGCATTACTATAATTCCACTACTTTTGGCTGTAACAAGTAATTGAACTACCTTTTCAAATTAAATAATACAATTTATAGTACTGAAATTTAAATCGGCTTATTATTCATTACTGTTGTCTTGAGTGAAAAGATGAATGGACAAATGCAGCCTATTCCATATTCTGTTTCTGATCTGCATTGGCATGTCGTCTCCGCGATGCTGGAAAATCCATTGGCAAAGTATCTCTGTGTCACAAAGACAATGTTACTGAATATTGATTCGACATTCTTCTGATGTCTGTACCATGTATTACAACCGCAACACAATGTGACATTTAGCGTACTGTTGTGTTTCCCAATTAGACTATATATCCCACAACAGGGTTATACTACATATATTTATATACTATGGGTTAGATTTGTTCTGTACCCCACATGTAGTGATAATGTTCAAAGCCATATATCACACAAGCGATTTAACTGATTAAAAGTTATGCTTCATTTAAAAAAAAATAAGACATGACAGAAACGGTAGCAATAGGCCTAACATTTATGACGAACTGATTAATGCAAAATTATAGGAAAATGTGAACTGTAATAATTTAAATATTGTCAATAGGCCTAAATGGAGCACAGTCCTATAACAACGTTCCAATCTTAAACCAATGTCCTGCCGAGGTGTGTGTATGTATGTGTGTGTGTGTGTGTGTGTGTGTAACTCCAAGGATTCCAGGATTAAAGTACTCTCCGAGGGAAAACTGCCTTATCTGGAATTGTAAATACAATGCATTGTTAATTAAGTTCTGGTACTTAAATGAGCATGTAGATCACAGTAAGCCTCTGCTCATTCTTAACACAGACTGTGGGACAGAAAGCTTACTGTCCCTCACCACCTCCATCTGTCTCTTCCCATAGTGTCCCACACACGCGTTCATTGGAGGTGCGGATCAAGGAGGAGCTGGTCTCCCAGGGGCTCCTGGACACGGAAGAGCGACAGGGAGCCGGGGGCGACTCCGAGGACGAGGTCCTGGCCGAACTGCACAAGCGGCAGGCGGAGCTGAAGGCCCTCAGTGCACACAACCGCACTCGCAAGCAGGAGCTGCTTCGGTGAGCAGCAAGCTGATGAATCTGCCGCGTTCTGCCCAGTAGTGGGATTCCTGTTTGGCTCATGCTCACCTTTCTACTTTAAGGTATCCAGAGGAAATCCCATTAATACACCCAGTATAGAGGAGTGGCAGCACCAGTTTGGTACCATTTACAGCAGTTTTGTTAAAATATAATTGAGATTATTTTTAAAAAATTTTACAGTCTATCCTGGTAAATCTCTTTCATAAAACATTACAAGCACTATATGTTAATTTATAGTGCGTGGTTTTTAATTGCAGAACAACATTTAGCAATTGAAATATGGTGTGTGGTGAATAAATTTAATTCAGTTTATTGCTTTCAGTGCATGTACATTTTATGGCACTGTATATTTCTGCTAATATTGCTGGCTGAAATATGTAAAGTAATTGCTTGTTTTATTTTTCATTAGCATGAGTATTTTTGTGTTTGCTATGTAGGGTGGGCAGCACTGTTGCTTCATATATCCAGGGTCAATGGTTTAAATTCCCCACTATATTTGTGGAGTTTACATGTTCCCTCTATATTTGCATGGGTGTCCGCCAGATACTCCGGTTTCCTCCTGCCTTTGAAAGACATGCAGTTTGGTGAATTGGCATCTCTAATTGAACATAAGAACATAAGAACTATACAAACGAGAGGAGGCCATTCGGCCCATCGAGCTCGCTTGGGGAGAACTTAACTAATAGCTCAGAGTT